CTCTCTCTCTCTCTCTCTCTCTCTCTCTCTCTCTCTGTGTCATATCCCTTTAAGACCTCGTGTGTGAATGAATTGCCAAGAGTCTATCAAATGGTAATATTTAATGGCTTCTGGTGCAGTTAAATAGATTGCCGGAAAAATTCAAAGAAAGTGGAAAATGTCAATTTTGCGACAAAGTATGATTACGAAAAATTATCGGTTTTTTTTTTACCTAGATTTGTGTCTAGTTTTCACAATTTGCCAAGTTTACCTTAATATAACTTTGATGCCACATGAAAGACTAGGAACTCTTCTGTTCAAGGTTATTACTTTCTATACTTCTAGGAGGAAAACCGTTTTAAAATTCACCTCGTTTTTTATTGGGACCCATTTTCGTCATTTTCCTTATTTTTCACCTTACTTAGTGCCCAATTTTCACACTTTTGTCGAATTCCCTTCAGATCATCGGTGATACTGTCTGGAAGACTGATAATTTTTGTATCTATCAATTATTTTTTTCAAGAACGAAAGCCGTTTGTCTGAAATGCAGTTCGTTTTTCATGCGGATTCAAATTTCCACACTGAGTTTGGTAGCGGTCAAAAATGAGATGTCCGGATTTTGGGCATGGTGCACACTTACGTACACAGACCTGGATATGTGTGCGTTTGGGTACGAGTTGGCCCACTGCATTGCACGAGTTCATACGTACAATCATGTCAAATTGCCCGACTAACAGGCACAAACAGAAACTTTCCGTTTTCATCCATACGGTTTCCTTCTTGCATGATACTTCCTCGTTTGAGCGTTCGTGATATTTCTTACCATTCACAAGTAGAGAAATGCCAGGGAAGACTCAGCAAAACTGAAAAAATCCCCTCTAAAATGTTGGTTTCACTTCCAACTTCTGACTCTGTTACTTTGGAGGTAGGTAAGAAAGACGGGCGAAAATTTGGCAGAAAAAGGATTTTTATCGTGTGCAAGTTATCAAAAGGAACTTTGATTGTTTAAATACTAATCGATATGGAAATAAGGGGCAACAACTTTTTCTGACCTTGATGTTGATCCACGACTTTTGGGGTCCAACTGTCCAAGTCAAGAGCCAATTTACAGGCTTCTCTATATTGAGTAGATTACCGATAACCTAAGTAAAAGTTCTTGAATAAACATCATTAAGCTTTACAGGTGAAACTAAACTAATGAAAAAGAAATATCCGACTAATCTACCCAGTCAAATTAAATATTGAAAGTAATTATTCAGTGGTTGATACAGAAAATGGAATTTACCTTGTTCTGGCATGTTCAGCTGGGAAGGTTATGACGAAAAATCATTAATAAGATTTAACTTTGAAAATTAAATGCTCTTAAGGCTGAACATAGTTATTCGTTAACGCCGTAATGAAAGCAATAATCAAGGTTATAAATAACTCAACTTCCTTAAACTCCCAGTGTAAAATGTGACTGTACACACCCTCATAAATCTCCGAATCGTTTGGCCAATGAAACTAACTTACTAACTTCATGGTGGAGTCATAAAGTTGCTAATTAACTCGATGGGACTATTTAGGTATAACCAAGATAGAACAAGATGATCTATGTCAAGATCTCATATTTCTAGATGGCTCAAGGGATATTAGGTAATTTATTATAGCTCGCAAAGATACACTTCATAGCCATAGCTATCATCTTGGCACGAATCACGTGAACCAAACTTATGAGAGTAGTTCTTCGAGTAAAGTCCGATAAGATACTTAAATGGAAGTCCATTGGTTACCCTTGAAAAACAGTACACTTATTGTCCACTCAATAAAAGTAAGACAATTTGGGTAGGGCACTCACCTGCAGGAAGAGAGGATAAGTTTCTTCATGCAGATAATTCTAGCTTGGGCGATTCCGTCCTGTGTAGGAAGTTTTGGATGCTTACTGCACCGAAGCCTAGGGAGGAATGTCACATCATCGCACAAATCAAATCCATTCACCCACAAGGCCAGCTGACTCCACTCCCTGTTCTTAAGTACAGTTACACCGCAACCGTGCAGGGCACAGAAAGTAAAAAACCCACAAGGGTGCAGAAAGGAGAGGGTCAAAGCGAACCCAAGGAATGGATCAACTTCCCAGTCATACAGATGTTTTAAACGGGGAGATTGGGGGGTATGACACACCAAAAACAAAAAAATGTTTATGTTTATCAAAATGTTTGTGTACTATTTCAAAGGGGGGAAAAGGCAATCTGTTATTATTGAAAATGTTTCCTTCGCGAAGGAAATGTTGTTCTTGTGACGAATTAATTCCCTTTTGAATAGTTACATTTAACATTGCTTGTATCACGGTGACCGTAGATCCGGAGTATACAGTAATATTACAGACATCAAGCTAAACAAACATATGACTACAAAATAATCCACATAAATATATGCCACAATAAGCCACATTTCTCGCCATCCTGTTTATGCTTCGGTTATTTTGCCCTTTTATTTTGTACAGTCACAACAGTTGCGATAGCAAACACGACCGTAGGTCTTTGCAATGACCAGCATTTCTGTAGTAGTCTTGGCTGCGGGCCGTCTCGTGGTGTGACCGGCGATGGAATGGTCCCTCTCTGCCACTGCGACCAAGCGTGCTTCTTCTATGACGACTGCTGTCACGACTATGTGAGGACGTGTGAAGAACCAGAGTCGCCGAGCAGTGGCACGAAAGACTATCGGGAACTCGAGGTTTGTAGTTGATTCTATTGAAACAAATCTACACTGTAAATAACCAGTCCATCGCAAACACCCACAGAATAAACCTTCAATTATGCGGTAATGCATTCCCATATTGTACTGTGGTGTTCGCGTGTCTGGGTCCCTACACAAATCCTAATCGAAGCACAACATGCTCAAAAGGATCTGATGTCTAAAGTTTTCTAAACAGTTTCCTCAACAATTTTCGTTTGCTCGTTATCTTCTTTCAGTTCAACTGCGTACTAAATTAACACGAAAGTACTCTCACTCGTACGCGTAAAAAGACCTATTTCTGTTTCGTATGTTGCGTTAACGGTGTATGCCTTACAATAATAAACATCACGTGCTTGAGGAAAGTGTAAATAAAATGTCATCTGTTTAAGTTTCATCTCAGCAATGTTCATCTGTTGAAAAAAGTGAAACCACACCATAAACATTTCTGTTTCGAAGCGTAGGCTACTGCACGATTTGTTGATAACAAGCCAAATTAATATGGAGCCAAGTACCGGACTCGGTCCCGATTGTAAAATATTCAGACTCAATGTAAATTGAACTGTAAGGGGACACTGCAATGCGTCGTAACCATCTGTTCAGTTGTGCATCTCATGACCCCGTACAACACACCACTAGACTCTGTCGATAATTATGCTTTTGACATGCATAGACCTATACCTTCTTTGACATCAAAGACGACATGTCATGTAATTTTGACATGGCAGAAGAAATGACAGAGTGATAAAATTATGTTTCCATGCACAGACTAAACCTTTATTTCTGCTTCAATAAGTTTGATCTATATCTGGTTAGCAGTTCGAATACAATACATATATACTTTGCCTTTTTTCATTACAGCTGTGGTATGCACACCAACATTAATTGAGTATCATAAAACTGATTACTGCTTTTCGATTTCATTTCCAACAGCTGGACCATTTCTCCTGCGTTTTCTTTGCAAAGTATCGTCAAACAACCAGCTTTCTTCTTGTCAGTACGTGCCCTGACGAGGCAACCGACACGCAGGCGGCTATTTTATGCGAAGACCCTGGTATCGATGACGCGCTTGGTTCCATTCCCTGCTACAGCAACAAGAGCGGTGTTCACTTCCGCAATGTCTATTGCGCCCTCTGTCATGGGGTGAACAGAGAGGAATTAATCCCCTGGGATGTTCTGGTGGACTGTGCATTGGCTCCCAGGCAATACGACGTCGCGAAAGCCCTTCTACAAAGTTCTGTCAAAAATTTTGATCGGATTGAACAAGAACTTGGCTGTGCTGTCATCATCCAGACTCCAGCACTGGATGACGTAAGGCAGAAACCGCGTGCATGTTATCTGGATGTCATTGGTCACTGCGCGACGCCACAGGACCCACTGAGCAGCGTGTGCGAGTCCTACACAGCACTGGTAACGGTTGCTGGCCGAGAAAGCACGGAGGTATTCAGAAACCCGCACTGTGCCCTATGCAACCTACCCAACGAGCCCGACCGAGTCGAATTTGCAACAGACTGCAGTGGTTCAAATGTACCAGTTTTCTACTTGTCTGGCACGTTTCTAACGTTGGGTGCTGTACCATGGGGTGCAGAATCTGAGGTCGAAATAAAATCATTTAATCGACCAGTATCGCCGCCACCAATTTCTATCCTTTTCGATTTCAGGGCTGACAGCAGTGTTAAGATCATTCAAGATAGGGAGGTACTTGTGTCGGAGACAGTCCAATGTCCTCAGAATGAGGTCTACGACCCTTTTGTTTCGCGTTGTCGTAGATTGACCTGTCCCAAGGGCTACCTTCTTCATGACAATAAATGTGTCCCCGACTTCAAGGCCATAGGAGAGGCCTGTGAGGACAGTAGAGGTGACAGTAGAATTGACATAGGAGTGACGGTCACTTTGGGTGACCCGTGTAAGGACAGTCTACCAAATGATAGGGATGCTCATTTAGTTAAAGACATTCGGCTTTGTGTTGAAGATTTTTTAGGATTTCCCCAAGGATCCTTACAGATTGCTACCAACACCCCAAAACAAACTACCGCTTGCCGAGGAGGAACCCTTTATGCTTTCTCGACAAATATCACCAACGAACCATTCAAGAATTTCCAGGAAGCCTTACAACTTTCACTGCCAGCAGCCAATTTTTGCCGAATGTTTGACATATATGACACGTGGTCTTTAGAACTTCATCAACATTGTAAAGACCTGTCAACTGATGAGTGCAACGGCCGCTGGTTAAATGACACCGAATTCTCTCTCCCTGTCAAAAACGGAAGAACTCTTGTTTACGTCAACGCATCGGCGTCGTGGTACCAACTGAATCAGACGATTATTAAAACCAACTTCCAAACGCAGAAAAAGTCAGTCGAGCAATCTACCCACATGCAGATCTGTGCCGATTCAACATTAGCGTGTCCTTTAGTGGTTTTGAACACTTCCCTTTTCGTGGTTGATAAAAATGACCCAGGGTCCATTATTCACAATCACACGGGAAAGGTGTTCAAGAGAGACGAGTACGTAAGAACTGAAAGTGGAAAGATTCAAGTTTGTTCCTTCTATGACAGCAACGGCACCAGAAGCCGTACGGGTTCGACCTTCTTCGTTTTTTCGATGACACAGCAGATACTCAGTCTAGTTGGTAATATCATCTCCATGACAGCAGCACTTGCTACCTTCATTACCTACTGTGCCTTCAAGGAACTCAGACAACGCATCAGTCTGGCAATCATGTCTCTGGTTGCTTGTCTCTTTCTGGCGCAGCTCCTCCTTCTTGTCAGTGGCTCTGCAACGAGCAACCCGCCAGCTTGCACCACGGTGGCTGTCCTCGGTCACTTCTTCTGGCTGACAACGGTACTCTGGACGGGGGTCTTGGCCTTTGACCTCAACCAAACTTTCGCTTACAGTTCAAAGATCCGAAGGCTTGATTCCAACAAAAGAACGTACTGTCTGCATGTAACTTTCTGTTTTGGAGGAGCCTCTCTTGTAGTTCTCCCATGCTTGGTGATCCACCTGTGTGACTGCACGGATATTCCCCTCTCGTACGGTAATGAGAATGTCTGCTGGATAGGTAATGGTTACGTCAATCTAGTAGCCTTTGGTATCCCTATAGGCTTGACGGTGCTTGTGAATGGTGTTCTGTTTGCGTTCACCGTCCACGGGATACGTTCTTCAACTAAACAAAGCAAGCCGCTCAAACAGACCGAAAAGTCAGAGTTGCAGAGAATGAGACAAGAGCTGTTCGTTTATATAAAGGTGGGTGAGGTAATCCTAATGATGTACACGATACTGTCAGCCATAATAGACACCTGACAGCCATTCTTTTGTAGCCATAAGCCGGAGTTCCCAATATAATTATTTATAACACACCTCTTCCTGGTTGTTTATCCTAGTTGGCTGAAAAATGGGCACGTGTAGTCCACTGTTATGAATTTGGCTTTAGCGTGACTCGACACGCACCTAGACATTGCGCGCCCATGCAAATAGGCCAGAAATATGTCCACCGAGCTCTTTAATAAAATTTATACTCAAAATAGATGTATACGCTATAATTTGAGAGTCCTGAGAGCCATGGAATTGGGAGATTGAAGAAATATGGCACTGAACCTCTGGCCTGGACTCAGAGCTTCCAATTCTGAGCAATTTGGATGCAATTGAGTCCGAAAGTGGCACTTTTTAGCCGTTTTGCAGAGGGATGCATTTTCAAAATAGCTACATTTCCGGACAGTGAAATTTCCTTCATTTTAGGGATGGCCTCCTTTGGGTAAGAATTTCCTTAAAAATTCATCGGTCAACCCACTAAAAATTGAAAGGAAAATGAAAGAGAACATGTCGAACATCATTTTGCTGTCCAGCTTGGACACCTGTGAGAGTTGTATTTTTTAAATAATTGGAAATAAAAGGGTTTATCATTGGTGTTCGTGGGAATTTATTTTAAGGGGTGCACCCATAGAGCTATATCTTAAAAACTTTTTACTGGTTATTGTACCCTCTGGAGGTTGAGGCATTGGTATTGAGTGAAAAGTTGGATTGAAAAAGTTAAAACCCCGGACGAATTCTTTTCCTTGTTGATTACAGCAACTCAAAATTGGACTGTGTCAGGGGGACACTATAATAAACCTTTATTTTCTTTTCAATTTTTGAAGTACTATTGAAAGTTGAATTAAAACAAAACCCTGAAAGAATATTTTTTTTTAGTTTGGGGTGTGTTATAAAAACACATATGGACTGACCAAATTCGGTCACTAGTGTATGTCCATGCCCCCTCGGGCCTGTGAGTGACCAGAAGAGGGTCCTACTTCGGCTTTGGCAAATAGGACCCTCTCCTGGTCACTCACAGTCTCTCAAGGATATAGACGTGCACAGGTGACCTCATTGCCAGTCCATTATAATGTGTATAATAGTTACCACCTCTATTTGTGATCTGTTGAGACCTTTCACCGAAACATCACTTTCCCAGAAGTCATAATTGCCAAAAACCGACTTTTTAGACATTTGGCTGAACTCGATACTGTTGGAGACTACAGTTGTGCTTTCGTAAGTGTTGTGTAGACCATTTTTTCTTGTCAGTCAAAATGATCAACCTTTCTTTACTTGAAAAGTATGGTATTCTTTCACAGATCTCCAGCCTCATGGGTTTCACATGGATCTTCGGCTTTGCTGCAGCTTGGACTGATGTCGACACTCTCTGGTATATCTTTATCATCCTCAACTCTTGCCAGGGTCTCCTCGTCTTCCTCGCGTTCATTTGCAATAAGAAAGTCTGGTGTCTGTGGACGAACCTCCTCTGCGGCGGTAGGGAGAAACACGGAGGATCTAGTTCCTTTTCCACACGTTTATCAATGCGGCCTATGCTGAAGCATCGTAGTGATAGCAATGCCAGTAGTGCTACTCGGAAGACTCGAACGACTGACATTTAACGGACGGGGCCAATTAATTTAATGGAACACACAGAATAGAAAATAATTTCTTTATAGCAGCAGGTTATTTGGAAGTACATGTACAGTGCGATGTAATTGACTTTGACAGGTTTGGTTTTGTTTGCTAAGTGAACTTATCATGGCTTTCTGTTTTGCTAGTTGTGAACATGTAGCAACTGCACTGTGTATTTAATACACAAAGGATCTTATAAATAAGCCTACTTTTTCAGTTTGTAATGTTAGATGGACGAATTTATTGCGTCATTTTACAAGTTCGCATACAATTATTGCAACATAAGTGGACAGGAGATGCATGAGTTGGCTTTACATTGTGACAATTTCCGCCCAAAGTGTACACTATTAGCCAGCGCGCTGCTACACCTAAAATACGCCAATAGTGTGTGCAATTTAAAAGCTTGTTACGCTACTCTGACACTAGGCTCTGCAACTTTCGCCTATTCGGCGAATTTGAAGTCGCAGCACTTAACAATTTAGTTGAAAAAAAGTTGCCAAAATATCTGAAAATGTTCATGGGGTCCGTCAAACATTCCTCTAAAGCGCAAAAATGTGTACAGGAATTTGGAACATGTTCAAATTTCCGGCGACTGTCGCCACCTCGGCTTTTTCGCCCTTAAACAGTCCAAAACCCTTCGCAAGTATCGCCAACTGAAAAGAAAAAACTGCGACAGAATTGAGGTCTGGAGAAACTTTCCAGAAGGTCCATTGGGTGATCCTGCATGTCCATCTTCTCCAAAGGCTTGATGCAGACTGATGCTGACCTCAGTTTGCTGATTGTTTTTATACTAACTAGTCGGCGGCCGCGACATGTGATTCTTACTGCCTAATGGTTGCAACATGCATACACGACGAGGCCTCCAAAGTCGCATTCCCTTCACGTGAGTTCGCCAAACCATCTCAAAAGTTGAAATCGTCACGCGAACGTCGTGGGTTGGACGAACGTCATGCGACTTTTGCCAATTTGCAACACAAATTAACCGTCGCAAGACATTGACAGATAATTCCAAATATGTAAAAGTCGTGGCTTTTCTCTGCCCAAAGTGCCACGAATCCAGTTCGCTAAGCTCGCCTAAGTTGCCTAATCTAGTGTGAGGCCACCTTTAAAGAGCCAAGGCAAGACAAACGATACACAATACACTTTGCATCAACTCAATGCACTGCATGTTGCAATTAGCTTGTGTTGAATGTACAGAATCCACACGAGTTTCCATGGACAGCATGACCCGTTGTTGTAAATACATGTACAGTTTTGTATAGTATGTGTTAATGCAGTAACCTGTAGATAGTATCGTGTTAATCTGTTACGTTTAGTTTCATTCAATTTGCATGTGGTTTTTAAGCATCATTAACAGGGTGTTGATATTGTTTCGTACTTTACTTTTGCCAATTTTGCCTATAGGCCTACAGTGGGCTTAAGCAGCTATGTTGAAATATTGGAGTGGCCTGTTGCACTTTTATAGTTCTAGAACTTTACCTTTTAAACATTATGCAAATGTTTGCCAATTTAAACAAAATTAGATAATTACACACACAACAGAAATAAAACACTGCATGTCTGTCAAACGTATATAATTTAATAATAACGATCAACACTGCAACGCCCCACTCGTACAACAAATTAGTCAGTTATAACTTCACCTCTGAAATAAGTAATTACTTGGAAGGTATTTCCTTATTCTTTGCAATTGTTTTTGCTTGTTACCAATGTGCATGGTTGTGTAGTTGCATGTCTGTATAAGAACGCGTGGACATCAGTTCTGTTGCAATCAGGTGAAGGCTTAATATTGCCAAAACTAAAGACTTGAATTGTTCACAGATAAATATTAAGCAAAATTAGGTTTTCATCAACAGTGTTTGTCAAGAATGTGAGTTCTTCACAAGGCTGTTTGTATGGAAAATGACATAATATCTCGACATGTTGGTTTGAATGTGACATTGGCTGGTAATTATACTGCTCCATTAACCAGATCGGTACATCTACCTGTTTTTATCCAGAATAAATGTTTAACTACTTATTTTTCTGATCTTTACATGCAATCTGGACCAAAAAGCTAAATCGTTCAATAAATTGTGGAAAAAGAAATCCAAGTGTCTTGTCTGGTTCGTGCATCACACTCCGGATGACCTGACCTCTGACAAAGTTTACAAACCAAAGATTGTCTTTCACAAACCCAGGAAAAAGACAGCCATAAACTGGTTCCAAATCTTAATATTGTACAACTTACATTGACAGCATTCAATACATAAACCAAGAGTCTTGGGTTAACAGGGTACGTCATCCTTGTGGTTCCAACCCAATTATGACCTTCAATCCTCTGATCTACGATTTCTTTTCCAATTATTTCTATGAAATCAACTGTTACCAGGGCTCAGATTTGACCTCATGCTGGTTAATCAACATCTGTCCAAAACAAGCTATAATACATCTTTAAAAGGAGGGAGGCTGAGATTGGGTCTAGGAACGGCAATGGCTTCTTGAAAATACGGGGAGGATACAACTAGCGAGTAGTCCATTCTCTCTTCTCTTTTAATTCCCGTTCTATCTCATCGATGTAGGGTTTCAGATAACGGGAATCCTGAATTGACAAAGAATAATCACAAAGGAAGAACCAATAACATAACTTCTTGCCTTTTGATTAACAATTTTTTTTAGATCAAAACTAATGAAATAAAATGGGTTGTGAAACTGTTTCAAAACTTAATTGCTGAGAAAAAGTATTCATAGACTTTTAGACTACACTTTGAAAGCAATTAAAGGCACATCGTGGACATAGATGTGAGTGCAATATACATGCAGTACTTGAGTTAAAAGCAACAAATTCTTCAATCTGGTTCAGCTTGGGAGAAGAAATGACAGAACCATAAAATTCATGGAAGAGTAGAGTGGTCTCAATGTTTCCTAGCTCAAACCTGTCACAATGCAATAGGAAATTAAATATTTTGCAAAAAAAACCAAACAAATTTATCATCATGCTCGTACAACTGTATTTGATAAAGTTGCAGACCCAGACACTTTACTCAATTACCTCTTCATATTTCGTCCATTCCTCCTTGGGCAGAATGCTGTGCCTAATTGTTAGATTAAATGCCCTCTTGATGCGGAAGGCTCTCTCATTGTACTGATCTTCTGGCAGACGCCGAAGGGCTTCTTTCACAATTGGTGTCATGCGTAATGTGTCATCGCGCATGAGTCCTGTCAAAACAGGAAAATAAAAGATAAATATTTTGATACAATATAAAGGTTATACTACTGATCGCCTTTGTCAATTTAAAAAAAGAAAAGAAAAAAATAGTCATTCTGGTACAAAATATACCCTTTAAATCTTTCGGAAGGCAAGAATGCTGGCACTACATCATGCTGCAAGTTCCCCATAGGTGATGAATACAAGTGTATAACAGCTGTAATACAGAGTGTTGGTAACCATGGTAGCAGGCTACTGACTGAGAATGCCAGCATAACTTGTTACAGATATGACTGACAACTGTAAGTTAGATAGGGGTGGTCCACGCACATACATGTACATGACAGAATAACACTGTCCTTGCTCTACGGTATAACAAGGCAAATCAACTTGAATGCAAACATATGTAAAAGAAACCTTGACACAAACCTAGTTGGTTAAATCCAGCTCTGGCATAATACCATTTGCGTAGTCCTTCCCAAAGTCCTGTAAACAGAGGCAAATTACATATTAAAAGGACTGTTTGTTGCATCAATGGGGCATGAATTGTTTGAAAAGTAGGTATGGTGGAGAAAGAGAGCCCTACATCATAGAGGTGCGCGTGTTGGGTGTGATTGCTTAATCTCTGGAAGATCTGTAGATCTTGTTACACAATTAGTTGATAATTCTGCCATGGACAATCCTTTTCAGGAAGACTTTCATACAACAGACACTGACTTTCCTTACAGAGGTTTATTAGCCATCACAAAGTGATAACATGAAGTGAGAAGAAAATCCTAGGAATATTCTGGGTAAAACCCACAGAATCAGGTAGGGACTGAAAACCCAATCCACACGTGGACCGGGCCAGGAATCGAACCCGGACCACAGAGGTGAAAGGCGAGGAAAGAACCAATATACCAACTTCACTCTCATCTACAGTCATGCTATTTAACAGTGTCACCAAGCATCGACACACAAGCATCAACAACTTGAAAATACCCTCTAAAGATTTCACAGTGGTTTTATCATATTTAAGAGACTCTAACATTTGCCACTGTGTGAAAAACATAGTGATGTTGCTTCCACATTCTTTCAAGAAAATGAATAGTTTTTGCTGTGTATGGGGGCCGCCATCATTCTATTCTCTGCTGCTGTCCATGCGAAAACAAACTGACGGCCGGTCGGGCTGCACAAGCTCACATTTCCACACTCAAATATCACTTTAGATAACTGTGATACATTGAATATCATATTTAGGAGGCTAATTAATACTGTTAAGACCAAATTAATACTGTTAAACCAAATCGAATAAATATACTTGAATAACTTGTCAATGCTTTGCTGATGCACGTTAACGCAAGTGTTGGGAACGTGCCCCGTTTCCACTTTGCTCCATGCCCACATCGCCCCAGCCATGCTTGGTTGTGTTTAGAAACTCTGGTATGAACAGGGCACCTTTTGTACAGGTGGTTACAGTGACAATGAATTTGATAATAAAAATGGAATAATGAAATCAATGATATAGTTTCCCTTATAGTCTTCTATGGACACCCCATACATGTACGTCTTCTCTTCCATATGAATTACTGCTGTACGGTGAGACTAAAACAGTCCTATTTGTGCCTAAAAATGATGATATGCCACCAAATGTTCTCATCGCCAATAGCGACAGTGATTTGTGGCCATCCATCGCTCACCTTGTCAGTCATATTTCACTAACGATTGCTGCCCAGTTTTCTTCCACTTGCACCAAGCGATGTGTCTTTATGATCATGCTTTTTTTTTCTCCGTCTTGCTATGTACACAGCATAAGCCCACCTTGAACTGCAACGTAGCTTGCATTTACATACACACACGTTCAGGTACTTGGTATCCGAGTTGACTGGTTTGTGGTCACACATTGTAAAGTGGGTGTATGGGGAGACATTTCATGTGTGCATTCATTAAATACACTAGCAGCCTATGCACACCATTCAGTGCAATAAACATGCTTCCGTCCCAAATGTAACTTTGAAACCAAAAGGTATCAAGCTTCACTTAGTCCGGCCCAGTCCCAGGTACGAAGTACTCAAACGTAAAACAACAAACGCCTTGTCTTTTCTTTCAGTTCAGTTTTTTTTTTATATGATTGATTGCTATTCTATTTTTTATTTATTCCACAAGCACAAAATCCAAAGCCTGTCTGTCCTGCGAATAATTGACAGAATGTTTCTGTACTTGTAACTTGTGTATTTTAAAAACCTGTGAACAGTATCTACAAAAATTGACCTGGCGACTAACTTTTTTCTTCTAGGAGCCAGAGAGGCTCCTCATTTTAATTTTCTCCGTACAGCAATGATTTGAATCCTTTCATCTGCTACCCCAGAACTGTGGGGTTCAATGTCTGTCCTCCAAGACGTATGCATGAGTGGGCTTTATGTGGTCTGGACACAAGACTTGTTTGGGAGTGCTATTAACAACTGTTTCCTGGTCAATACGTCTTGTGCCCTGACAACATATGGGCCTCTCCTGCGGTTTGGTTAGAGGACCATGTTCGTCCATACATGTAGACTTATTGGGTCAGAAACTCTACACGCCTGTATTTGAATGGGACGAGGTGGCAACAACTTTAATTGCTGTGCGTGTGTCGAGTGAAAACGGTCGGATTTGACAGATTTTGAAGTCAGAAATGTCACTGAAGCCCCAACCGTTTGACGTTGGCATTTATGGAAGCCAGTAGGTGGTGATAGAGGTATTTTTGGTAAGTCTTGGGAATTTCTGAGAACTGTTTTCACCTTACTCTATGTACAAGCGTGGAGCGTTAGTATGACGATCCCGTCCAAAATCATACAAAGAGGAATACTAACGCTCTACTCAGTAGAGCTACCAAAAAACCATTGTGACGGTGACTGTGGTAATGAAGGAGATTTTTTGGTCATGTTGTGTGGACAGATTTTTGGGGAAGATTTGAGTGAAAAGTGCAGTTTTAGACAAAGTGGTACAATTATAGAATACAGGGCCACTTTGTTTGGACTTTTCCACCATCTCCATTCATTTTTGCTGCTTTGTTCTCAAAAATAACTCTTTCGACATCATAGCCACGTATGTCATGTATGTAGACCCATAAACAGGGCCCAACGAATACTCCTCTGTCATATACTGAGCCCCGTCCCGATTCATAGGGATTTCTTTCGAAAAAATTATCTGGGATATCCAGGGGCACAACTAAACATGCGCTTGATTTTATGAGCTGAAATTGCACTGGTATGTTCACGACTTAGGATGTAAACCATCCGCTAGGTTGTTAATTGTAGACAATTCACGTTTTCCTCATTTGAGGAAAACAATTTTGTTTTTTTTTCCATTTCCCCACTCCGAACGAAGTTTGCCCCACTTGCACAAAAGCGACGGCTGTTTCGTCACTTTTGTGTCACGTTACAGAGAGCGAGCTGCGCTTCTAATGATTTGCCGCAAACAGTGTGCGACTGGACAGGGAACCAGCCAAGGGCATTGCGTATCAGCTACGATACAAAACAGCTGTAATTTTCAATAGGTACTTAGATCGACAGGTACTCTCACAGATCTGAACGAGATCCCTAGGTGCTGAAATCTGGGTGCAAACTAGACAGGCTCTCGTACTGGGTACCATTACTTAACCATATAAAGGAGTCTATGTAATGTACAAGTCGGATGAAAATTCGTACAGAGTGGGAAAGGGCAAAAAAGGCAACATTTTTTCCTCCAAACGAGGAAAAGGCGTGTTTTCTACAATTAGCGACCTAGTGGATTTTTTTACAGTGTAAGTTCGGTCGTACTAATTAACATCAACCCAACGTCAACACACCGTCAACACACCCAAATCATGTTCTAAGTTAGCAGAAATGCAATTCAATAGCAATATAATGCCTAACATACAATTTGGCAGACAAAAGTAGGCGACATTTGGGGGGGAAAATGCCGTTTTATTTCACGAAAATAACACCCTCCGCACAACCACGAAAGACGGTAGCCATGCTGCCTCGATCAGACGGACCATACCATTACACTACAGGGGGTCACCTTCATACAGTAAACCATGGTATGGTACGGTCCAAACGCCATGAGAAGGCAAGATGGCGGCGAACAGCAACGCTGCTCAGAGACAATCTTTTTGTGTGAAAAAACTCCCTTGAAATGTAGTCAAATGTAAACTAAGCATATACATTACAATTCAATACGTCTATTTTCTGTTTTCAATGCATTTTGTAAGTGTTGACGCTGATTAGTACGACCCCGTAAGTTAAGTACTTAAACTTTAAAGTTGTGAACATACCGGTGCAATTTCAGCTCATAAAATTAAGCCGATGTTTAGTTATGCCCCCGGATAAAGATTTCGAAAGAAATCCCTGTTAATCGGGACAGGGCCCAGTATACGACGGAGGAGTATTCGTTGGGCCCTGTTTAAGGGGCTATGCCTCGCCATGCATGCTAGCCTACTCGATTTGGACTTCTTGCGGCATAGGCCTACGCGGAGTCAATCCCATCAAATGCGACATCGTAGCCATTGATTCTAGGGGGAGGCCCTGTATTCTATAGCTACTTACATAACTTTGCATTTCAACGGGACACCAAACGTTTCAAACGATACGATTCAAGAAAATAAACCAGAAAAATCTCAGCGAAAATTTACCTCTACTCTGCGACGCCATCTTGGTTTCTGGAAAGGATTACCGTTGGTACTTCGGTCATCAGCGGTTTAGAATTACATACAGAGGGACACCAGCGTAAAATGCCGGCTCAATTAGCCACATCTTATTCTTGTGGCTGGTGCTTGGTCTACGTCTGTTGTAAATGCGTAAGTGGGCACGCACAAGCCGAACCGTGTCTACTTCGGGCGTCCAGAGCTACGGCTAAGTCTATTCTATTTGCGTCCCGCGTAATGGAGAAGACCTACCTAGGTAGGTACCTACATAGTACATGTAGGCAGGAAATTTGAGTCTGACAGACGTAGCCGCTGACAGTTGTTTCGGAGCAGCGGCCACACGAGTACAAATTTCGAATTTTTATCAGCAATTTGCTAAATTCTGAATGAACAGCATGTATACACAAAATGTCCTTAATTTATTTTCTGAATGAGTCATCAATGATGTAAGGTTCATGCTTCGATGAATTTCAGTCAACCCCAAATTTAAGTACATTTCAGAAACTTTAGCAATTTTTGCAAAACCCCTTTCATTCCCAATTCTGGAGTATTTTACTCAAACACAAGAAAACAAATTCACTCTTCAAACTATCAAAGTTCTTTTCAAGTTTTGTTTACAGAAACAGTACAAAAACACACAGCTGTCCCAGGAACCTGATTTGATTTATGGTACTGATTCGGAACAAGTCTTTTCATCCTGAACCGTTAAGATCTCAACATAAATAGTTCACTGCCTTTCAACGGCAAGTACACAGGTGGCTTTTCTGGATGACCTTCAGCAGATACCTGTGACCTTGTAGCAGGGCCCTGTGGAAGACCCCTTTACAGTGAACAGGCTACCCTCGTTAAATATGAGAATAATACAAAGCACCTGAAAAAGGTTCATTTTGGGACATACAATAAACCTGATCCTCAATACCCTTTCCAACTTGTATACTTAAACTAACATCCTGGGATTTCCTTGTGTCCTCCCTCCTCCAGTCTCACATGCTCTCTGAGCTCCCCTAGCCCATCCCTACCAAAGTGAAGTGTTTTCCAATTTGTATCTGATGTTAATTAAATCAGTTGCTCCCCATTAATCCAAATTCTCTAGTGTATACTCCTCTAGCCAATTTCATGCAGAAAATCTTTAAGATATAGCACCCCTGCTAAATGCTACAATGCAGTGACCATCAACACAGGACTCGGTGGACTGGTTGGTAGGAAGGCCTGTGGATCATTGCACAAACCACAGGTTCAAGTCCCCCTTGGTTATTTTTTATTAGTTCAACTGGTATTTATATTTAAACTCTTCCCTCCCCCAGACAGTCTGTTGGTTGGTCCTAAGATCTGTTTTCTTGTCTGTTCCTGTGCTCAATGAATCTCTTCAGTTGTCGATTGTCCACGAGGTCTGACTTTGTGATAGGAATCTGGTTACCACAACCGGTTACAGGACATCTGGGGAATAAACAAAAAAAATAAATAAATGGAACTCTAGGTAATTCATTTGTTATTCATGTGAGTTCCAGGTGTTCACATTCAAAATGAACCTTGTGTCAGAGGTCATACGCATAATGATGTATACCCTGATTGCTGATTATGTTACTGAGAATTGAACAGGGTTCAACACAAGTGATTTCGTCACTTACTTTGCGTTCTTGCGATTCTTCACAATCTGCATGATGGCCGCTCTCTCGTAGTTGTGCTGACAGTGTCGGTTGGTGACTGGGTCCGTCATTTCACACCGTGTGATTGGACACACTGTCGTCACCTCGCACTGTGTCATGATGACATCATCATCACCTTGTGCATTGCTTGTGGTTGGTATACTGTCCCCTGTATCAGCATTAAGACAAATATTCGGCTCAGACACTGTGGAGGTACAGTTGAAATGATGTTGGTTTGAATTTGTGATCAAGACCCCTTAACCACTTCATGCTGGGGCATTTTTCAATGTTGATGATGCTGGGCCGGCATAATTATCATTTTTTCCGTTTTCAAAATTCTACAAAAATTCATCCTTTCATTTAACAGACGTTTATAGCCGCACGAAATAATCTTTAGGCACTACTCTAAGTTGACAGGTGACCTTCATTTACCCGAGTATTTCAGCCAGGCCTGCAGCCTTGTAAAAAGAGCCCAGATTGTGCGGTGTTATATAACTTTCTTTTGTTCACGAACCTGGCTCAGTGCACTGCTGACCTCTTTTCAATAGGGGCCAGATTAGCATGCAGCGATGCTGTGTGGCTCGTCGCTGCGGTGGTGGAGCGCTTTTGTCCCCGGTGGTAATCCGCTCGCTCTCAAAGCCCCAAACCCTGGTATACGGTTTCAAAACAAGGCTGGATTATCGCCACTTTTGAGAGTGAAAAATGTTGATAATGCCCAGCAGCCTGGTCTTTTGTTCGGAGTACAGTCTTTTGTTACAGGGCCCTGTTTCCTTTGTCCGAGTTCGGAGACCCCGGCCACGCATATAAAACATACGTCTCTGATTCCGGAGTCCCCGGCAGGAAGTGGTTAAGACTACTGAGACCGTAGTCACCTACAAGGCCATCACAAGGCCTACACAAGATCTCTGGTCTGAATTCAAGTCAAAAATTTTACTTTGTCACTGTCCATGATGTCACTTGTGTCTAGGCTTCTGACTGGTGTTGTGTCTGGTTTTGTGTCTGGGTCTTGAGATGGTCTTGTTTCTAGGCCTTGTAATGGTTTCGACAAAAACTGCTTAAAAATCTCTACTACTTCAAAAAAACAAGACAGCAAAGCAAACATCCACTGAACCCACCAGCATTTCTGTATTGCCACATCTTCTGTATGAGTTCATCCATCTTGCTGTGTCTGCCCAACTGCCCATCGTCATCCTTTTTCTGAATGTCTGCGACTGCCTGTCTCACAAGTTGTGACACTTCAACCTTCATCTGCTCCTCGATGCCTAACCTTTGAATCTGAGAGAAAATACAAATAAATTTGAACGCTTAGAGTTTGGCCTGGGAACTACAACAATTCGGTGAGAACAGGATTTAATGAGTGAAACAAAGGTTAAAGCCAAAAGAGCACTGGAAGAAACTGCAAATGATTGGGTTACTTCGTCGGAACAGAATACTCAATTTTTGATCTGAAGTTCACTCCACCGATGAAAACTGTCTTCAGTAACAATATTTCAGGCCTGCAATAAGCCAACAAGAATGACATTCTGAGTTTAAGTGACTTGTCCTCTTGGCTCGCCATACCTGACCCTTGACTTGCTTGACTGCTTTGACATACTGATGCAGATCTTGCTCCATGGAGGCATATTCTTCCATCATTTTTTTCAAGTCTTCCAGCTGAGTCTCTGTTCCATCTCCTGCAGACACATAATTATAGGCACAGTGCCAAAAACAGAAGTTACAAAAAGAATGATCAGTTTCTTACGTAGGTGATTACACTTCACGAGTATAACTCTGGCAAAACCAAGTCTTTATTGAGACACTCTGGGTCAACAAAATATAATCAAAGAGAAACAATGACAATTTTGCATTTCGGGTTCTTCTTGTATGTCTGGCAAGATGTTACCAACCTTCCGTTGCTGTTTCGGCAAGATCGAGCGATACTTCAATGATGTCCTCCATTCCGATGGTGATGTAAGACTGGACTTTGTCCACACTCTGAAGAGCACCATCAACCATTCCCAGATTGGCTATTCCTGACATTTTCTCTTGGTCACATCAAGTTGTGGTTATTATTAATGTAAGATCTGTGCAAAGAAAGAAAGTGTACTGCCAGCACCACCTAAATTGCTGTAAATGTCATTTAACCAGCTACATGCAGACAGCACTCTCTTTGATGTGTACATGCCAATGGGCCTACATCATGCCAGACATGTGGCCTAGTGAAATGTGTGCATCTTGTGAGTAAGAGAGAAATTTCCCCAACTGGGTTTGAATCAGAGCTAGCAACTTTTATTTTCATCCCCCAAAATAAGAATATTGCTATTTCATGTTGATTTCAACATTTAGTTGCAAAATGTTACATTTTTCTTTTTCTGATTTGTGGGTCTGGAGGATTTTTATAAAATTGTAAAATGGTTGGAGTCCCATAGAATTAGCTACCTGCATATATGATACAGTCTGAGCGTAAGTAGTGAGCATTCTGGCAAAATTTCTGCTCATAAAACACAAAATCAAGTGTTTCCTATATTCCAAGACAGTACCGACCAGAACTGTACTAGGACTGGGTTAGCTGTCCTGCCCCTGGCCAAATCTCGTTGACGTTGGGCCCCCTTTCAATCACGTCAATGTTGGGTCTCAAAGCACGGTTCCAGCTTGAGATGACAACACTGACCGGGGGAGTGGGGAACTTGGAAACGGTATGGCTATTGACAGGTGTCCCAACAATTTTGTCCAGGATTGTAGCTAGTTGAGCGGATATATTTATTGATTAAATATTAGGCCTATGCACGGATAACGTAACTAGCAATACACTGACGAGGGGACAACTTAGAAAGCAGCAGCACACTGTCGCTCGTGCATGCGCTAATTCAGATTCTGGTACCTGTAAAAAAAGATGGACCTTAAAAATGTTCTTATAAAAAAATAGCGTTATTACAAACAACTAACTAACCATCCCTTCTACTTCTAGGAGAAGTCAAGTCTTAAACACAACTCAGACAGTCAGGGCAGTCGTCAAATTGTCAGTCACTAAATTTGCGCAAAAATATCTGTTGACAGAAGAGGGCGCTATCAAAGAATTAGAAGAGGGCGCGAACCATAGACATAAATAACCTCCGCGCGAACTGTGCGCGGAAGTGGTGCGGAACCATATGCGCGGAACGAACGACGCTAGCGTACCGTGGCCGCTTCTGTTTTTTTATTGCACAACATTTTGGGGGAAGAGTTTGTATACAACCAGGACTCTGTTTAGGAATGTGAAAACGAATAAAACCCAGGAATTTCGGGTCCCCAAAATTAGCTCTAAAAAGCAGGAAATTTATCTTGAGAGTCGATTCTTTCCTACGGGAAAACGGTCACTATCTTGCTGGTTGCGGGAGTCGCCTCGTGGGTACTTCCTCTGTTAAAATTTCGGACTTCAATTTCATTTTGAAAAAAAAGAAATCTTCCAAATCTGCAAACTAGAAAAACAAATGAATTTCTTGCAATTAAGTAAGATCCAAATTAAAACAAATATTTATAAAGAAGAAAGAAATTTTTGAAACAACCAAAAACTTGAGCTTTACTGGGATGCTAGCCTTTCCGTTCCAAGAGTGTGTAAATATAAATTTGTCTGGCCGCTCCTCATGCACCTTGGGATATTTCCTGAGATCTTTGAAATTTGGGCATGACCTTATCAACTTGGGAATTTGCATCCAAAAATTCCTGTTATTTTGGGATTTTTGCAAACTTGACTTTCAAATAATTTATTGTATTCTTCTTACTCATCTCTTCCAAGAAAAAAATTTGAGTATTTCTTTAAAGTATCTCTGTGAAAAGGTGCGAATTCTATTTATTTTATGTATAGGAACTTTGCTGTTTATTTTGAGATCTTAAAACTGCATGCGGCACGGATATCGCAGGAAAGTATGGTCTGCGCAAGAAGAAAAATTATGACTTGAAGCGGTCGGGCCAGTTTTCGCAACTTCTACACAAGTCTTCTACTCACTACACTTGTTAAAGTCAAACTCGTTACATTGTACGCCTTGCTAGTGACGGCTTTTTGTCACTGTTTTATCGAAGGGATTGATTTTACTTTCATCCGAAGAATCCTAATCCATTAAAATAATTATGTGCAGAACTGAGAGGCCCAGAATTAGTCCGATTCTCTCCTTCATTAGGCTCAAAATAACGGATTGTAACCAGGTACTAGCGTTTTATGTAAATGGGTATCCTTTTCAGTCATTTATTTTTCTTGTCATGTTAATTGTTTTAAAAAATCGTAATAATCACAGGATGTTTTAAAATTGTATTCAGATGTCTTTGAATCCCTTATTTATCTTTGTAAGACCATGCGCACTTCAGTATGGCTGTCAGACGATTTCAGTACGTGTAACCTATCCTGTCGTCACAGGGGATGATGTAGCTCAATGTTTAGCTACATGGCGGTTCAGTGAAATGAGGTTGTGGAAGTAAACCGGCCTAGGTGAATAGCGGACTGCCACTATACCAGGTCCTGTACCAATGTCTCCCATGAGTTGGCTGGGATTTATAGCCTGCAAGTCACCCATAAGAACATCCTGGTAGCGGAGTCTTGGACGGCCGCGGGGGCGAGAAGCGTAAGCCAGCTCCCTATCGAAAATATTTTTAGGCAGGCGACCGTCACTTGTCTACAGACGTGTCCAGACCAGCGGAGACGGCGAGCCAACATCAGTGTGAATATATCGCTAGTGCCCGTGAACTCCAAGATGGCAAGGTTGGAAACACGGTCCTGCCAAGAATATGCCAAGTATTCGGCGTAGGCAGCGGAAATGAAGGCATTCAGGCGGCGCTGCTGGCGACGATAGGTTGGCCATGTTTAAGTTTCACTGCAGTGAACCAGTACATGAACACTCAGCACACCTGACTCGAAGATACACGGAACTTAAGAGTGACTGAATGTCCCTGACTCGAGCTAGAAGTCAGCCAAAGGTGGCCGCGGCAGCCCTACCAATTCTTAAGTCAAGTTCTGCATCCAAAAAGTTGGTGCTGGCATGGTGCTGGTAACTGCAGAGCCCAGATACTGGAATTTGTCGATTAAGCTGAGATCTGTGCCACTGACTGTGATATTGGGCGGGGGAGTGAGGCCTTGTGTTAGAGCTACCGTCTTGCTGAGGCTGATTTTCAAGTTAATACCAAAGTCTAGGCAAGCGGCGCTGGCATAGGAGTTACAGTGATCTTGAAGTTCAGCCGTCACGGTAGAGTGAGCAACTGTGGCTGAGTCATCCGCATACAAGAGTTCTCGTACAAGGACTTGGCACGAAGACGGGACAAATGGAAGAGGTTTCCAGAGCTGCGAGTGTAGCAGGATATCAGATGGAACAGGAAATGCGCGATATACATGTAATAGGGCGGAGACAGGGTAGGAGCACGGGAGCGAGCACACAGCTCTCGGCTTGACGCCTCGAGCAGATCTTGAGCCATTAAACTGGACTGTGGAAGCTCATCAAAATAAACAGCCATCTATGAGGGCAGCCCCTACCCCCAGAACTATGGGGTCCGACATCCGCCCTGCTCCCACAGTTCCGGGTGTTGGCAGCCCCAGTGCTTTAGGATGGTGAACAAGATCGAGTTACTCACACTGTCAAATGTCTTTGTTAGATCGAACAAGACGACAAGCAAGGGTTGGCGCTGTTCGACACACTTCTCCTGAAGTTGTCTTACGGAGAGGACCACGTCAGTAGTAGCAGCCTGGGAACGACACTACAACCAGTGTCCAGACAGAAGGATGTGGCAGCCCCTGCTGCCGAGCTGTCAGAAGTGGACTACTGTTTGTCTGACCTCTACCCTTTGTTTGACGTGTCTGGCTTGGGTGGCCTTGCTAGCATAGCTCGCAGGGTCACTGAAGTGCACAAATTCCTCCACTGTGATGAGGTAGCAGTCTAGGGAGAAGGAGGATTTTAATAAAACACCGTAATAGTAATAATATTGAGAGATCTTGAGATTTCCTTGTAATTTTACTATAATAATCTTGGGATTTTCAAATTTGATGAGTAGCCACGGTGGCACTGCAGACATTCTGGTAACTTCGTTTCAGCTGTTTGCTGACGTTTAAGCTTGTTCCACCACTGTTCGTACTCTATGGTTTCACTCAGGCTATTCACTGCTCATTGATTGAATCAACTCAGAGAGTCGAAATAGGACACTGTGCACTTCTTCCGTAAAACGGATCTTTCCGTCCGCAAATTTAACTTTCACTTTTCTGTCGATGTGTACCACTCCCGTTGAAGCCATGATCTAATTGAAGAATTTTACTCTGTGTTGTAACGTTTCTTTTTATCTCCTTTACTCCAGTCGTAAAGTGTCCTGGGTCTTCATTTAGTCACAAAAATAATGGTTCGATCATAGTACACGAAGTTTTATCATAGATTCGCCCAAGAGAGGGCGGTATGACATATTCGCAGTAAATTATTTTTATCAAGTCTGGTAACTGTAGTAAGCAAAGCCTTTTGTAAGCAAAACCTGTCGGATGTGATGCGGTTCCCTACTATCAGCACACTTTGTATTATGATTTGAAACAACATTGTTACTGCTCATAATCACGGCGTAGTTAGTTGTAGAAGCCAGGATGCATGATCTGACGTGTGGTTTGTTGATCATTTCCGCTTGCCCATACGCCTCTGCTTGTTAAAAAGTGTGGACTATTTCTTCTTTGTACACATTGAAACACCCTGCCAGCATTGAAAGCTGACAGAGAGTGTCCGCTACAACAAAATGCCGGAATTAATCAGCGTTTTGGAGTTCGTAAACGAGACAAATGAAGACCTTAATTCGCCGACGACTTCCAATTTTGTGGTGAAAATGGGTGCTTGCCGTAACGTTGTCACCCAACTGGAAGAGGTATGTTGAATGATGGTCACGGTCCAACGAATACATTAAAGTTAAACAAAGATGGAATGCGTGTCCAAATTCTTTGCGGAGTGTGGAACGTGTGAAAAGTATTTTCAAAACAAAATCTATATTAGCCCTAGCATGCCTAGGCTAAATTCTGTTAATTTTTATTTGGTTTAAATTAATTTGGTTTTGCGATAAGTTGAGACTTTTTTTTCAGTCACTGTCAGTGTTTGTATTTGTGTAATAGCGTTTCTCACTGGTAGTGGTATTTGGATGTAGTCATTGAGGATATTAACAAAGGCAAGAGTTCCATATACGGACAACACTTGATGCCTCTGTGCGCAACCCAATGAGACTTCCCTGAAAAAAGTGTTTTCTAAGTAGGCCCAATGTTTAGGAATGTTCCAAACTAAATTTCACTTAATAATACTGTAGGACATGTTATCTGATGGCTGTTATAACATTTTAAGGGGAAATAAGTATTGTCCATATATGGAACTCATTCCAATGAATCACGTGTACATGTAATTACCTGATATGCTTGGTTTTTCAAAACTGAAAAAATGAGTTCCATAAAAAGAAATACCGGTATTTAAGCCAAAAAGGGACTTGTACAGAGACTGAATAAAGATATTATTATCTTGAAGGGATTTGCAAGTTGTTTGTATTTTTTATTGTTATATTTTTATTTCAATATCCCAAAGGTTTTGAAAAGGTTTTGAAAAGTGAAATGTGCAAATCTTTTGGTCTTTGCCATTATGGATTAGGGATATGCACTGATATGGTACCCGTATATTTATCATATTTATGATGACAGGAATATTGCATTCTGTCCTGCCTGTCTGAATTGAAAAACTGAGTAAAAAAACAAATATTGTTAAATTGATACCACCAATGTGGTACCAAAATTTAGAAATTTTAAGTGAGGATAGAAATTAGTTGTCTGTAAATATGTCAGTTTTCAATGAAGAACAAGACTTTTCATGTACAGGTATGACTTGAAGCTTTATGTAGTTTGCCTTGAATGAATGTTTAACTTACATTTACACATTGTGCCTGAATTTCAACAAATATGGATTGCCTTGAGACATCTATTTTTGGTTTTGTGTTACACGTAGATTTGATTGATTATACTATGGAGAAATAAAAAGTGTAATTTTTATTCCTATGTGATTATACCATTTAGACCACATTGCACAAACAAGTTACACAAGGCAGACCACAAATGTTTGTTTATCGTCTCCAAAATGTGCAAATGACTTGATTCCCTGATATGCCACCCAGGGGATTTGAATGTCCACTGCTATGACTCATCAATGCAAAGGTGTCTGTTTGGAGTTCTGGGATGTTTGTGGTCAGGGGATACCATTCAAAGCACTCCAGGTATTGTAATGTATGAAAGTGTTGCCATAGTTTGGTCTGAAGCAAGGACCCTGTGGTCTAGAGTGATACTGGTGTACCAGCATTTGGAAAAAAATTGTGATGGTCATCCTTGTGTCACAGTGTGGTAAAAAACAGATATATGACTGCTTTTAAAAACGTAAAAAGTGCAAAGTTAGAGAATTAAAGGTGACACTGTACCGGTATATCATAAATGATATTCAATTCAATTCAATTTGGCATTTATTTTCACATTGACATCCTTGATAACAATTCATACAACAATTTATTTACAGTATATATATTTAAGTGTACATGTACAATGTACATACATGTATCTAACGATGTCAACATGAAGGAAAAAGGTGAAGCCGAGCTTTTGTACCTTTCCCTGGACAAAACAAAGCAAGACAAAACAAAATTTAATCAACTACACATATTATAATCATTACGATTATAGTCAAGACTGAATTAAAATGGATTTTAATGAAATATAATTTGAAATGTTCATTTCCCAATCTCAAGCACACATGTTAAAACCTTGTTGATTTGATTTATCTTAGGCACAGATTGAATTCTACTCAAAAGGACATGCCTGATATAACGTCAACACGCACACTCCGAATAACAACAGCTGGTCAGAAGCAAGTCTTACATAAAAAAAGAAAAGGACAAAAATAACAAAAGGTGTAAATATTGTCTTAGTCCCCAGATGTTTTTCAGCCATGATCGTTACAGCAGTAATCATAACTAGTTATCCTAACCCTTATGTGACCTGTTGGAGCAATTTTCCTGCCTAGTGACTCATTATTGTAAGTGACAACATATGTGGTAAATATGTCTGAAATCTTTTTATAGCTGGCCGTCAGTTTTTTCGTGTCAATCAAGCAGTGCAGCCTATGGTTGTTTGGACGACTCAGTAAATCCCTAACAGCAGTTTATTCCGACAACACGTGTTGATGTGAGCACCTATCACATACATGTACATTGTACAGTAGTCATTGATAACTGCCCATTACCCCGACAGTCCCACATCCTCCAATTTCAATCTGATTTTTTCAAGTCTTTAATTTTGTTAAAAGGTCCGGCAGGATTATAAAAATACATTTAGGTCTTGAAATGGACAGAGTAAAATATTAAATTTTAGGGTTGTAAACAAAATTTGATATAATTCCCGACAGTTATTTTTACGTCATAATTGTACAGTAGAGTATGGTACACATTCTTTGTGCATGCATGTACATGTATAGGAGGTTCATAGGATTGTCATATGATTCTGTTTTCTTTTTGTTCTGAAGAATTGCAAGTATAGTAGTGGTACATGTGGACTACACTGTACTCTGGTATCTACCAGTGTATGGTATTACATTGTACCTGTATTTACCCCAATACCCCCCAAAAAAGTCAGTTTTAATTTTTACATGAATGACTACATCTGTGGAAGAGGTTCTGATTACATGTGGAAATGGCTACCTTGATTATTTGGCTCAACAATTTACACGTAGATGTGTATTGTTAGTAAACTGTTTTCCTGTATCTTACAGTTTCCTAATTGGGGTTTCCCACAAACACTGTACTTCACAATCAGGACAATAGCGATGTGATATGCAGTATGATCTACATGTAAGTGTACCTTATGAGTCACACAACTAACAAAGCCAGACACACTTTGGCCCTTGAGGTGGCAGATTGGATAGGCCTACCCTACATGTAGAAGGGACCATTTCCAAACATGTGTTGAGTCACATCTGGAATGGGGTCATTTCATTGTCTGCTGTTCCCACATGCTCTACCCTACCGTATCCTGCTCTGCCCCATAGAGGACAAACAATTCTGAGAATAATTAGAAGTGGGGATAGCTGTGAAATCATTGGATAAATTGGATAGGAAATTTTGGGAGTGATACAGGAAGAGACTGGTGTACAGGACTGATTGGTGTTGGATGAAATCATGTGCACAATGAACCGTAAATTGTCACGATTGGTTACATGTGATTGTATAAAGAGGATGACTGCATCCTCACTTGTAGATTTGTAAAAGGACAGATAGGCCATTCAAAGTTTATACACTAAAATATGTACATGTAGGTATGCACAGGTACATGTATGCACTAACAATACATGTACATGTATGTGTACTGTATTAAGGCATGGCTACACTACGGGTACCCCCAGAATTGTTGGGTTTGTTGGAGTGTGACAGACAATGAATCCCACAGTTCTTGGGGTACACTACCGGTACATTTACGTGTTAACATTTGGGAAAGCATCACGACCGAAGTACAAAGTGTAACACACCTTCAATGAGGATCATTCAACTTGTCTGTAATGCAGTAATACATGTACATGTATGCACCCCTTCTCAAAATATTTTTACAAATATTCAGTTGAAACAAGGACATCACTTTGTAATGCAAACAATTATGTATGGTATCATAAACCCTATAATCTTGAACGCTGCAGAGTAGTAATTTAATCCAGATGAAAACGAACAGGAAATTGCTTGTCAAATTAAATTAAAGCTCCCATCCATGCAGAGCATGTACATGTACGCACATGTGTTGGTACAGACAAGACTGCAGATGTGTACCTCAATATTCCATGTTCAGTGAGAGACTGTTTGCCAGCCTTTATTAAATTATTGGTTTTTTCCTTTTTAGGTGACAGAAGTGCTTCCTTTTGTGATTGTGTTGTAGTGAAATGCAAACTATGTAATCTACTTCTGAAGTGTAACTTTTTTTTTAATTGTTGACTTAAAATTGCATTTATTTTCTTAGCGTTGTACAGTGTCGCTTTTTAATTTTGTTTTTGACCTTGGATGTGTTATCATGGGCCCATCAGTCGCAGGGTCAGCAAACAGTCTCAAATGTCTTCCATTCTGTTCAAGTAAGGTCGTGATTTGTAATCAGCAAATATCCAAGAGAAAGTTGACTTTAAACCTAAGCCCCCCCCCAGCAGTTGACTTTGTAAAGTGATCCCTGTTTTGTAACTTAGTAGGTTTCCACAAGGTCAGGCAGCCAGGGTTCATGAGACCAAGTCTAAAAGGAAAAATTTTCTCTGACTACATTCACCTGTACTGTTTTCCCACTCCCAATTCATTTTTTTAATAAATTTTTAAAACTCCGTTTTATTATTGTGTTTTACATTATTTTAAAAATTGTGCATTGCAGTTGGTGCTTTTTGTAAAGGTAATAAATTGTGGAAGAATGTTTTTCTGTTTACCATTTGGTCAAGGTTTTGTGCAGTAATGGCTTTTGTGAAGCACAATTTGGTGGGATTTTGTTTATCATTGATTTGTTGTTTTTCATATATCTGTTGGAGGGGATGTAACCGCTTGAGATTTTTGGAATCCAGGGTAAAATCAAACAAACTTTTCATTAAAAAATTTTTTTTTCTCTTATCTCAGACGTTGGACTCTGACAGAAGTGGCCTCGGAAAGATGAGGAAGTCAGTCAAGAACATCTACAACACTGGAAACAGTAAGCAATAATAATAATTTATTTATTTTGCATTGCATTAAGAATGCATAAAGCGCAACGTTTCAACAAACTTTAAAAAATCATGAAACAACATTAAAATTACGTTTTCTTAAATAACATGCAGTTAACACACAGTTAAAGAATTCCATACCAGTACATGTGGACATGTGCCAGTACATTCTTCCTGGTTGTCAATATTGATCTTCTACAGCACCGGAAACAGCAGGTAATCTGAAACACAATACAGTCTACCACACTACCCCATACATATACACTTTTTATATTGGTCAGGATCCTCTACAACACTGGAAGTCGGCTGATGATTTAAATATACATGTACTCAGTTTACACGTGTACACTCTTTCTGGTGGGTCAAGAATATTTCAAATCATCGGAAAAAGTGAGAGACCAAAATGTACACAAACCTATCGGTACCACATCCTGGCCACATTATGTGCTGTTTGTTTAAAAAAAAAAAAAGAAAAAAGTTGCAAGTGATGGAGATTCCATTTAAAACATGAAACCTGTGAGATCAAGACAGAATTGATGTGTACTGGTACACGTATGTCTCATATTTATTTTTACTTGATAAGCCTCTGGTGAAATTTATAGTACATGTACTGTACCAGTACATGTATGTATTTGGTCGACATCTGGTATGAAAAATATCTTGAGCATTCTCTTGAGTGTACATTTATCACCAGTAGGTGTGTGCATTGAGTGGAGTAAACCTTTGTTCCCATGTGATGTGCACTTTTCAGTATGTATACTTTGTATCAATTAGAGCTACCTCTAGGTACAGGTACATCATGTACATGTAGGTCATTTTTAAGCTCATTGAACTGCAACACGAATTCCACTTGTTGCAGACAACCAATGACAAAAAGCCTTTTGCGAATTAACTTTGATCCAAATCTGGTACACAGAGTTCTTTAAATTCACATGAACATAACTTGAATTCTCCTTACTAAAACCACTGTTGCTATACCTCGTGATTCGGGGCATGGTTTTGCTTAGTTACATAAGAGACGCCTTGCAACAATACACTGTTCTCAATAGATAAGAAGGGCACAAAGGAACCAGTCCATTCAAGAGATGGTGGTTGCTATGCAAAAGCTTGCCCCGAATCACGAGGTATAGCAACAGTGTCTTTGGTCTGGGGAATTGGAATCATTACATGTGTGTTTATGTGCAGTCAGATACATGTAACTCAGTGTGCCAGATTTTATTCAAATTTAATTCACAAAGGGCTTATTGACTGGATGTAATTTACGACTGTGTTTCACCCCAGCTGTACTGTTATGAGTGTTATGCATTTTGCATTGTCATTATCCTAATGGAAGCTTAATACAATGCACATGTATACAAGACAGGCTTTCCCATCATTATTTGCTGTAGGCTTTTAAATTGAACCTTGAGAAAAGTGCAATGATATAGTACATGTGCATGTACACTATGCCACCTGCTTGCACATGTACCGGTACATGTACTAGTAGGTTTCCTGTTGGATATATCACTGGTACTCTACCCATCACTGGTACTCTAACCCCGGTATGTGCAGGTCTGTTATACAAATACATAAATACATTTAGCAAAGATACTTGAAGCAATGCATCTTGGAACAACATAGCACATCACTGATTTGGTTTGTTTGGTTGCATTTCTGTTATTGTTGGTTTTTATTTTGACGAATATTTTTTTAAGCATACAGTACCTTTACATGCTGTTTAGGACGCCACATACACATGTACCAGTAATTTACATGTAATTTGTGTTCTCAAACAATACGGTTCCCAGGAGCCTGTCTCTGGGGAACCCCCTTTGGGCCAGAGGGGTGAGAGCGTTCCTGATACCAGCGGAGTTGCTTATGCTTCGCGTGCGGCTTTAGCCCATTCCCAACAACAGCTGCATCCCAACCAATCAGACGGTGCACACGTCACTCTGGCTGGTTGTTTTGGCGCGTTCGCCACACTTCTCCTCTTTCGCCGAGCGTGTACAATTTGTAATAAAAAAACCACCCACCCTCCGCACTGGAGGTGGGTCCCACCTTGTTTTATTTGCATGCACTGGCAGAAAATGCCGGGCCAGTCCTAGGGGCGGCAGCAGGGCTCCTGGCCGCTCATCATTGGCTGCTCAAACAGCACGCATACAGGCACCGGCAGGGCTCCCTTCAAGAGTAGCATTTGGGCATTCAAGATGACAGGAAGGGGTGCTGGGTCCCTCTGATAGGCCTGGGTGGGCAGATCCTGAGGCCTGAGATCCCTTCAGGGTTAAACCTCCTGGCCGCTGACCATAGGCTGCACAAGTTATGTCCTGTTCTGGGCATAAAAGCCCCAGTCGCGGGGTGGCCTCTCCCCCCCCCCCCGGGCCCCCCGTACCTTGGGGGGTCGGGATGGGGGAAAACATTCTGGCGACTTGCTGCACACACAGTCTCTCGGTTACTGGCCACCAGTTAAAGGTCTGGCGTCTCTTGCCCGTTATCTATGTGTTAGAGTTTCGGCATCTCTTGCCCGTTACACATGCATTACAAGATCCGGCGTTTCTTGCCCGTTACTTTGCGTTGTTAAACCCGGCGTCTCTTGCTCATGACGCTATGGAGAAGTTTTCCATTATAGTGGTGCTACGTTGTCAGCACTGTGCACTTTGCTAATAGCTACATGTATTATTGTTGCCTTTACTTGTGTATCATTCAAGGTGTTTCTGGGGCCCCATAGCAATTCCTGTAAATCCAGAACATTTGTATTTGTTGTTTCAAGTTGCGGCTGGAATAAACGCTTGGGGAAGAAGGCTGAAGCATACCCAAAATCTGTGTTCCCGTGTCCTCTCATCTTCTCTGGGCCAATAACAGATTGTTTTGTTATACTGGTACATGTCGAATTAGTTCAAGAGTCGAATGGCTTTACGCCGTGGAGTTAAGCGGCACTACATTTTTTCAGAATTGTAAAAGGAATACATTGTATACATTACATTATACATTATATTGGTACATGTGTATGAGTATACTGGAGGTGGAAAATTGAATACAGTACAGCAGAAATGTACATACTGCAGGTACTTTGTGATCCTTTGTTTGAACATACGGGGTACATGTACATTGTATAAATGTGGAATGTGGGTCATACATTTTAATACCAAGGCACCCCCCCCAAAAAAAAATTCATGCTTGCTGTGTTCTTACTAACATACACCCTACCTGTGTTTTAATGGTGCAACCTGAAAGGTTTCAGGGGGCAAAATTTAGGCTAATGTAAAAATTGGGGAAAAAGCCTCCATTGTAGGGTAGTTTGAATGTTTTGATGAAAGGTTTAGTGGACTTGTACATGTACATGTATCTACATTTATGTACATATGTACATGTACATCTACCGGTAGGAAGCATACATGTACATATTCTGTACCGGTAACTGGGGGGGGGTCATTGAGAAGAGCATTATAGTGCCTACTGGATACATAGTGGGAAATTCAGTCTGTGTGAAAAACTCCCTTATCTCCAAATCTTGTTGAAACACCATGACAAGCACTCTCCATAGTAACACATCTACACTTGTACACATGAAGGCACAGAAGCTTACACACCTCATGCTGTACATACCATACATGTAGAGTCTGTGATCACCTTGTCTGTTGACAATGCCAACAGACTTTGCTTTGCCTGGTTAGGTACTCACTGTCCACACTTCCTGTGTGCTTTTCCTGAACTGATATCCTTAGTAGTCACATGGGCGCTGGTAGGATTTCCTAGAGTAAAGGTTGTAATCAGTCCTGATAATCAGCCTGCGTAGGTTTTCAGTGAAACTGCATTTTGATTTGAATTCATGTGGTTTTTGTCTTTGCATGATACTCTTCATTCGACCTGTACTTGACTTTACAAATAAACTTTACTTTAAATTCTGTACTTTCATGTACATGTACATGGGTGATTCTACAAATTAGGGGTCCAACTTGAGGACATTTTGGTGTCCTGTCACACGTGAAGCCATTCAACTTTCTTCATGTAAAATTGTAACCACATTATCAAACATTGTGCAGATTGAACTGTATATTGTACAGGTCATAAACAATGTAATCCTGTTTGATCTACAGAATGTGAACAGTACTAATATTAGTTCCATCCAGAAAAGCTGAATGGTTTCACCCGTAACAGAACACCACAATGTCCCCAAGTTGGACCTCTAATTTATAGAATCACCCACATGTATGTACATGTATGTTGATGAAGTACCGGTACCTCTACTTTGTGCTTGCTTAATGCAACCATTATGCAAATTTTATGCAAATCCAATTATATGCAACTCAAGTGGTTGAAATTAGGCCCAGAAAGTGGTGCGGCATGTTGTAACTATACATACATGTAGCAGGATCCATTTCATTCTGCCACCACCAGCTCTTGACAGAACAAGGTCACAAGAAAACAAACCCTTGTGAATATTTGAAATGTCATAAGCCCAAATTATGAGCAAAAACACTGGACTAGGCATTGCATCTGTAATTTTCTAAATATATGCACATGTACATGTACAGCCTATGGGAATATTGTGTTCATTTCATACCAAATAAAGTTGCAAAAGATTATGGCTTGATGGCAGACTGGAATAGAACTGCTGGAATTGGATTTCCAAAAACCCCACCTAATGATTCAGAATTAATGAAAGATTCATGCATTTTTTACAATTGTTTCAAAGTGTATAAGATAAATTGAGCTGGTTGAGTCACATCACTGGATACTGTGTACTAGACCTTCGTGTACATGTACCTGTATGTATGTACATGTGTACTGCACAGTAATAGTGTACAGCATATTAATTATGCAAGGCACTTTGCATCCATGCATACCACTCTGAGTAATTATCAGTGTGCATGCAGACCAATGTGACAAGCAGGCTCAAGCACTAATTGAATTTTCATTATCTTGGGGACAAAAATCAATTGCTGCATGAGAGAGGTTTAAATTTGTTGCCTGCTTCTTACTTGCTGTTAGGCCCACCTCACACGTGAATTTACAGCGTACAAGCACTCACATAACGTGTGCAATGACAGTCCACAAATTGGAGTAGCATTCTTAAGGCTTCATACACATGTACAAAAATACATTCTTCCTACATCCCACATTTCTTTGATTTATTGACTTTTTTTCAGATGCAGTAAATTGTGCTTGTTACATGTACCGTTCATGCAATGGTGCACCAGTGTTAATTCATAATTGTTTTGTACAATACGTGTGCATGTTTAGCACCAACATAAATTTCATTTTGTATAAAGCTTCCAAAATTATTTGCTCTGATGTTTTTCATTCCAAATGACAAACACAAAAGAACTCTCGTTCATGCCTTACATGTACAAATGTACAATACATGTAACTCTACACGTATATCCACATGCCAGGTTTACCAAATCCATTCAGAGTAGAACATTGCACAAAGACATTTTGTGATTAGAGGAGCCAGGAACTACTGAGGAACTCTATGGGGCTTTGCCCAGGGACCTGATTCAGCCAGTCTGTCCAAATATGGTGACCCTGTGCACCCCCATAATATCTAATAATGTGTATGGTACACCTAATGTACAGCATATGTGCATGTTATTTATTCACAGTACTTGAAGGAGCAGGTGAGGACCATCCTTCATTAACTATAAATTGCATTCTTTTGGTCATGAATCTGACAGTAATTTTGATCTATGTCTCATGATGTGCATTTGGACACTTTTTGTGGCCGGTGGAAAATTGGTACCCCCATGGTTCCTGAGAGGCATCATATCAGCAGTGCAATTACATGTAGAAATGTGTAAGCTCCGTAAAAGGGCACATTACTTTGTCAAAGCAAACTGAAGGTTAGTCCAAATAAATCAGAGTTTCAATTCAAAAGATAAAATCTCAAGTCAGTTTCATTGAGTAAAAAAAAAACCTGGCCCAAAGAAGAATCAAAAGTAAACGAAGATTTCAACAAGTTCTGTTGTGTTAATATTCTCGAAGCAATAGTGTGAAATGTAATGTAAACGTTTGTTTACACTGGGTGCTGTGATAGCTCAGGTATATGTATGTTTATGTGTGCCACAATGTACATGTAGCACATGTGATTGGTAAAGTTTTTGAAAGCATGATTTATAAGTCAAGAACCAAGTGCTGCAATACTTTGTACATGTTCAATGTAAACTGGAGTGTTTTACTGAAAATTTGCCCGAATTTATTGATGTTGACGTTGATTTCAAGAATGGAAATGACAGCAACACTGAAAGTGAAACTCTCTCCTCAGCTATCAGTTTGCTCAGGGGTTGTGACACTAGGGATGTTAAGTCAATAGGAGCCAGGGGATATCTTCCAGACTGGATGCTTGGACATAATTTATCCACTTTCTTCCTTGAAGGCATCCGCCTTGGCTTGGGAATAGAAATATTACATGTACATTCCGGTATCTCTATAGGCTCAGATTTCTTTGTAGTGTGTAAAGTACACTGTACACTGCGGTATATGCTGCACATGTACAAATTTTGTAGCCTGTTTAGTATTTCTGATGTGGCCTCTTAAATATTTCTGGGCTAGTTCCATGATATTTCGTGAAAGGCAGTTAATATTTTATTTAACATTTCTGGAATAGCATGGTTAATTATCTGTGGGATACTGCAGTCCTCTTATATTTCTGGCTGCATGTTTTGTCACAGGACGGAACTGTACTACTGCTGGTAGAATTGCTTATTTACAACAAACCGGTACCAGGCCTCCTTTGTTCAAGCTATACTGATACTTTTAAATTGTGCGTACATGTACATGTAAGGCCTTTACGTGTAGTTTTGGTATGACGCTTAGCACTTAATATGTACTGTATAAATATGGAGACTGCTTTTTCATTTTATAAAGCATGTTGTTTACTGTGTAGCTATCACAACCACTTCTGAAGCAACCTCTTCACATAGTGTACTGGAAGGCCCCTAGCACACTGCTCATGTACATGTTTGGTCACACTCACAGCATACATACATTGTACATCTGTACACTCTAGAGTACAGATGTGCAGGCAGTCCAGAACAAATTTATGTGTTTATTTGAGGATGTAATTTATATGCCTAGTAGTTCTGTGTTGTTGAAAGTGAAAGGTGTCCAATGTATGTACATGCACACGGTGTACGGTACATGTACATGGACAATTCGTTAGCAAATTGACGTATACAGGTACATGTACATTGTACATGTACATGTATACATGCTGTATACTATACATAAAGTACATACATGTACATGTACATATGCACAAATAAAAGAAAATATCATGTGTCAGGCATGCTACCTGTACATTAGTTTTCCTATTTGACTAGGATTTCTTCCTTTTTTCTCATTTCATGAAATGAAAGTTTCCTTTCCCATTTTTCCATCGTATAGTCATGATACATTACATGTACATGTACATGTTCCTACAGAACTCATACTTTTCATTTGGGGTCAAGTATCATGCCTTATGTGTACATGTACAGGTTACATACGGTACAATGTACATTGTACGTGTACTTGTATGTATACATGTACATGTATGTACAGTACATGTACATGTTTACATGTATGTACAAATGTACATGTATACTGGTGTACAACTTATATCTAGGCCTGCTAGGGGTCAGACATCAATTTGTGTGTGGGTCTGTCAAAGTTTATCCCAGAAAATGGAGGTGCAGTTTTTAGAAAGTTAGACAGGCACATTTACATTGATTTTTGTGCATACCCCGGTAGTGATGTGGCGTAGGTTTCATTGAAAAATTCCACCTAATCAGCATAATACATGTATTACATATTGTGCAGAATAAGTTGAATTCATGAACATATTATTCTTATTCCAGCATATGTTGGCAACCTCCTCTCATTTGCTGAAAACCTGGAGAAGCTGGGCTCCACCACTCTGTCCAAGGAAAAGGAACCAGACCTAGGGGCAGCTTTCTTGAAGTTCTCAGTCATTACCAAAGAACTGGCTGCTCTTCTGAAGCATCTGGTGAGACAAAGATTAACATGGAATGATGAACCTTTCTTATGCTACCTGGTGTAGGTTTGTCACAATCTTACATTTTGCCAACTGGATGGTTGGTAAACTGTAGCTACCGGTAGCTATCAATATATATATATAAAAGAATGTTTTAAAAGAAAAATCTCACTCTGCTTCAGGTATAAAATAGGCCTTTTTACTAGGAACCATCCTCAATCCTCCAAAGTCCTCTGATTTTCGACATGAACAAATTGTGTTCGGCCTCAATCCTCTGAAATCCGCTATAATTTCTTGTAAATGTAACTTGAAGGTGCGCCTACTTCCTAAATCCTTCAAAATCCTCTGGCAATTATGTTGAGGCAGTGCAAATGGCATTTTTGAGCTGTGCGGTTGATTCAAAAGAAATATTGGGCTGAAGGTTTGCTCAACTAAGAAAAAACAACACAAGGTCTAACCCACAACCTTCACTCATGGCATCCTTCACCATCAGTCATGCACTTTTGCCATTCACCCTCAATCCTCCAAAATCTTCCAAAACTGCCTGAAGGATTTTTGGAGGATTGAGGAGGCTAATTAGACAACACAATGTCCAGCCTATTCATTATCTTGCCTAGAGAGTTTTGTGAAAAATATAGGCCTATGTGACATAATTGGTGAACTATGTTTGGATGTGTGCTGTTGTTTGGGTTGGCAGGTTCAGAACATCAACAATATTGTGATGTTCCCTCTGGACTCCTTGTTGAAGGGAGACCTCAAGGGCCAGAAAGGAGACATGAAGAAACCATTTGAAAAAGCCTGGAAGGACTATGAATCTAAATAGTAAGTGGAGTTTGATGTGTTTTGTAGGATTTGGGAAGGTCCAGTCTTCTGGGTTATCCAGACTTCAAAGACACTACATGTACTCCTTTTTTGCCTATCTCTGCAGCCTTGGGAGTCTTGGTTTTGCACACTTCCACTGCTTTAATCATTTAATGGTGGACCAAAAAAGTTCTTGTCAAATCTAGCAGTTTTAGAGGGGTTAGTTTTCCAACGTTACAATGGGAGAAGTGTCTTAACACTAGGCCTCAACGTTAATTTTTTAACTAGTTGTCCATTGGGCAAGTAGCACTGAAAATTTACTTGCCCAAACCCTGGTTTAGTTTCTCATTGCTTCCCAGGACATTAAGTTCCTTCTTTGCCACAATACGACATGAAGATACATCACTCTCAACTATTGCGTCCGTCTACGCAGGGAGTGCAGTATTCTGACACATCATTCATACAAGTTTGGGCAATGGCTGTTTCTTAACCACTGGAAGATTTGGCTGCTGTCACACACACACAAGTACCAGGCAAAATTCTCTGATATTTAAGTCACAGCCACACATAAAACAGTCTTCGAGCTTCTGGCCGTCAAAGCTCTGCTGTGCCGCGTGGGCAATAACCAATGAGGGTTGGTACCCAGACACAAGGGTATCTTACAGTTTATTTGTGTATGCAATTTCCCTTGTGTGGAAAGGTGCCCTGCTAAATGTACAGCATGCTTATTGCATGCAAATGTTTACATATACATGTGCATAACCATGCAAAGAATCATTGTACACCACATAGCTGTTTACTTTTTACCACTTTTTATAAGCTTTGTGAAGAGGAAAACAACAGATCGAAGGTAAATTGGCTGACTGCTATTCTTGGTCACGAAAAACAGACACTTTTATTTCAAGAAAAAAGTACCAGTCCATCTGGCAATTTGTCCTTCATTTTTACTTGCCCCGAAAGAAGAAATTGCTTGTCCCAGGCAATCAGACAATCGTTAATCTCGAGGCCTGCTGAACAGAAAAAGATTGCATGATCTATTGTGAACTGAAATTCAGACATCATAATCAAACTCGCTAACATTTTATGGGCGGAATGTGGCAGAGAAATACTGGTGCATGGGTAGACTTCACATGTGCTATCACTCAAAGGAATAAAAATGTTTACAGTGTCCTCTTAAGTGGGTCATTTACCATTCCTATAATGACATGTTTATGAAAGTCAACAAAGTGGATCACAATTGAACTTTGATTTGTGGGACTTTGTTTTGATAAACAATGTGTTAAGAGTCTATACTAACAATGCCAGCAAAGTTGTTGAACCGTGAACAGAAAGGATGACAAATATGAAGGTTTGGAAATGGCTCCATACTGAGTGGAGATTGCTAGAACAAAAAAATCTGTGGGGAAGAACTTTAGAACCATCTGGTTTTCCCCCTGAAGAGTAATTAACATTCAGCTCATGACCAAACTTTTGAATAAGTCAAAACACCTATAGAAAATAATTCCACCTGTACAAGGTGCATATTAATTCTTTTCTAACTAAACACCTTTTTTTATTTTGGCTGTCATGATGGAAATGTTTGCTGGTATAAATCAGCCCTTTGTCCCAAGCTTTGACAAATGAATACCTTGGCAATATTTAAGTTTGGCATTAATTTAAACATTCTAACATACTAATGGACCCTGCAAGTGAAATTATCCCCAAAATACATAAATTACAACTGCAACAAGACACAGCTTCAAACCAAAAGATTTTGGATTTTAAGTCTGTCTGTTATAGTTATCATGTGAATGTAATATCTAATAGTAATAATACCTGGTATGTACAAAGATCTGTCCTTGCCCTGGCCAACAATAAATCAAGTCAGAGTTTTTTTACATGTACACGGACTCCCCCCCCCCAACAAAAGCTGAACAGGTCGGGGAATCACCAGCTGCTTGTGTTCTCATACCCTGTGGCTGGCAGAATTGATTCAATCTCAACCATGTGTGTCACACAGCAATGGTTTGTGTATGAGCACTGCGTTGATAGTAAATCCTCTCATTGTCACATGTTGTCATAAGAAGCAAATCAGTTTGAACAGGTTTTTTCAATTTGTATATATGTAGGCAGAATATACGTGTATACATGTTCACGTTCATAACACAATGTTTTTTTACCGTTACATATCCATGTACATTGCACCTGTTATCATGAGATACAGTGTGCGTTGATATTATAGCTAATGAGTAATTTACATGTTCAATATATTGAGGTGTTTTTAATCTCCAGAAGCTATTGGACTTATAGGTTTCACCTGAAAGATACGTTTTCAAATGAACCAATGTGCATTCAGGCCAGTTGATGTTTTTAACTGCCACTACAGTTTATGCAAAATCCTGGTCTGGTTTGGTTTAAATTTAACCAGGAACTGTTTACGAAAACAGAACACTTTCCCCTTGTCTTGCTTAATCAGCCAAACGGAACAACAGAACAAGGTAAAAATTGTACATGTGCCAGGTGCTCACAAACCACACATTCCATTCCAACCAAGCAATGGAAAGATGATAATTTCCCTGAGCCTGTTTTTTTCCCAGAATCTGCCGTAGTTTGCCAGTAGTGTTTGTATAATGAGACTCGCAGTCGACCATCGCACTGTGCCAGATGGTGAAGCTGTTTGGTACATGTAGTAGAGGCAAGAGGCTCAGTTGCACTGATCTGCTTTGTCAAAGGGGTGGGAAGTCTTGCTGTCAGTGTATTAACGATTAATGTGAGCAGTGTTAATGCGTAGTCTTTGTGTCAGTCTTGTATTCATAAATCATTGTAATGCATCCATATTTGTATTAGGACTGAGGCACTGAATATGTTGGGGAGAAGAGCACTTGGTGTGTAATGCAATGTGGTAGTACATGTTCATTCTTGTATAGGTGGCAAATCACAGTTCAGATCTGGTTTTTAGAAATACAAAAATGAATTATTGTTTTCTCGGGTAATATCCATTAATAGTAATTCCCATTCTCAACAAACTACATGTACATTGGTTACCCATCCCCATTCTCAATGGTTACCCATCCCCATTCTCAACAAACTACATTGGTTACCCATCCCCATTCTCAA